GAGTCGGGCTGTTGTTTTGCGAAAACACCAAGTTCTTCCGCGAATTGTAATTGTTTCGCTGTATATTCTGGTAAAAAAGAAAATAAAAATAAACAAATTATTCAATTGCTATCGCAGCAACAATTTGGTTTGAAACAGTACAGTAAGTAGCACTCAAAATCTTTAAATACCCTGGGCAAGTTCTGCACTAGCTCTTGCCAATTTCACGAGGTTCTTTATGGTAGTTTCTAGTCCAAACACTGAAGCTTCACAATCCGCCAACTCCTTTCGAAAGTATGGTGGATCTTCTTGACATAGATGAAGATTGAGGGGAGTTGTCATTATTTTTTTCAAAAAAAGACAATAGATTGCAAAACTATAACGATAATATTATCATAAATATGCATGATAGAAATTTGTTTTAATTGGTTAAGGATTTGTGATCTACGTATAGATGTAACACGAACATGGAGTGTTTTAGATCCAATAAAAAATAACGAATCTATATCATATTAGGGTGATCATCAAACTAATAAAATCAAGAAAATTGCTAATTTACACAATCAAAATTTAAGATCAGGTGTAACATGTAAATCAATTTTGTGTAACAAAAACAAAATTTTTTTAAAAAAGGTTTATATCTCAAAATTTTGTTTACAAAACCATTTTTGAAGCTCTAATAAAAAAAATTTTTTGCTAAATTTTATTATATAAAACACTCTAATTCTAACCTTAACTAACTCTAATCTTATCCTTACTCTAATCTTAAAGAGGCTAATTTTTTAATAAAAATTATTTATTTTTTTTTTATACAGTCACACCTCTCTAAGTGCATCCCATCGGGACCATAGTGAAAAAAATTAAAATTTTGCACTTAGAGAGTGTTTGCATTTATAGAGAGTAAAATATATAGGATTCTTATAAGTTGGGGCCAACCTAGATCTTGCATTTAGAGAGGTTTTACATAGTACTTGCACTTAGGGGGTGTGCACTTAGGGGGTGCGACTGTACATTGTAAAACAGATAATAATTATCTAAGATGATTTTTAGTTATTTTCTAAAATCAAAATATAAGGAAAGTGACAAAAATTAGATAATTTTTTAGAGAAGGAGAGAGATAAAAAAAGTTAAAATTATATATAAAAACCTGATCAATTATATAATAAGAAGAGGGAAGAAAAGATATGTTTTTAATAAAAAAAAAACAGGTAATACAGTAAATAACACTACTCTAAGTAGGCATATATATAAAACTTACTATATAAAGATTTTTTATAGATTTTTTTATCAAATTCAGAAAATTTGAAAAATTTACTTTTTATAAATTATTCACTTTATTTAGGCCATACAAAATTAATTAATTGGTTTTTATAACCTGGTTAGGTCAAAATTTGAAAACTTTTAAAAAAAATTTTTTATATAGTGCAAGACATCTATACTTAACAGTTACACAAAATATTTCAATTTTTTAAATGGCTATAACTTTTTATCTAAGAAGTTTAAAAAAAATTTGACTGGTAACTTTATAAAGCTATATCAGCTCTACATGTGTGCCAAATTTCATTTCAAAATCTCATCACTGTAAAAAGTTTTAGTGATTTGAAAATTGAAATTTTATATATAAATTTGTAAATTTATATATAAAATTTTAATTTTCAAATTGCTAAAACTTTTTACAGTGATAAGATTTTGAAATGAAATTTGGTATATATGCAGAGCTGATATAGCTCTATAAAGTTACTAGTCAAATTTTTTTTAAACATTTAGATAAAAAGGTATAGCAATTTAAAAAATTAAAATACTTTGTATAACTATAAGTATAGATGTCTTATACTATAATTTTTTTAAGATTGCTATTTATTGTCTATAGTGATTATCACCAAAATTACATAACTTTAATTAAATAATAAAATATTAACAGTTAAATAAATAACATATCAAATATAATTAGAACTATATATATAACAAACCAGTTCTGTATATACTTGATATATATTATATACCAAACTTATAGCTCTTATTTATATATATTAATATTATATACTGTATATATACTGTATGTATATATATATTTTTTATTTTATTTTATTATTTTTTTTATTTCATTAATAAGTCTTGTTGTAGCTTGACCTTTTTAGTTATTAGTATATACAATTTATATAAATTTACTTTTAAGATTAATATAAATCCTAACTTTATTTAGTTGCTTATTTCAGTACCTAGGTGCAACCTATTACAAAAACTTATAAATAAGCTAAAAAAAAGTTTTTTTTTATAAACTTTGTTCAAAAGAGGTTTTTATCCTTTTGTATTTAATATTAGCTCTTAAAAAACTAAAATATTAGGACTAATTTCTCTTCTAATTTTTTCTTCTTCTTAAAAGTTACAAGACAAAAAAAAGTTATAAGCTGTTTTTAATTAATTAAATTGGAGAGAGATTGTGTACGAGTAATAGACAGAGAGAGTTCTATTGTCTATTGCTATTATTGATATTATATATATTATATATATATACAGTATATTAATATTATATGGGAATTGCTATTTCCACCATGGTTATACAAGATTTTTTATTTTTAGATAATAATTACATATAACCTAACTTTAACTCTAAAACTAATAAGTAAACTTTTCTTCTAGCTCTAAGAAAAGTTGTAGAAGAGA